ACAACGACAAACTTATTTCACTATAGTGATTAGCTTAAAAGTTCAGTGATGCAATGTTTATATATGCTTAAATAATCAAAATGTTTTTCCTATTTCTCTTTTGAAAGATTGTAAGCTTTGAGTTTTTAGTGTTTACTCGGATGACACTTCAATATTAACAACATCTAAATAAACAATTGTAAAAATTATTTCTTAAATTGCAATATACATCCTTGATCACGGGTCTCGTTCCTGTTGCAAAAGTTTTGGAAACGGTACATACAATCCCCTTGCAAACACTGAATTAGGCTTTTTAAGATTAAATTTTGTGCCTTAAAACTGGTATTTGATGAAATCAGAATGATTTGGGGCTTTTAAGCGAATTAGATACAAACAACCATTGAGACATCATCTTTACAAGCGATCTCAAGTTCAAATCAAAAGAAAAACTGTTCAGATTTACTTGGTTTTTGCCAATTTGAAATGAAAAGTCAGTACTATATCTCAACTAAAAATACTATTGCAAACTTATACACAGTTGCGTTTTGTTCAAAAACCAGAAATTAAAAAGCACCGTATCAAGATTGCCTTTTTTCTGCAAAGCCAAAACAGTTTTTAAGCTCTCTTCTGATCAAAGCTTTAATCTGATGCGATGGCCAGCCAGTTTACTAAGCATGACACCTATGAATTTGGAGCCTCATACTCATTTAGTGTCATCTAGCACCGTTGCGATGGTTGGAGGGTGTCTGTGAAAGAAATGTAACCTCAGTACCAATTTAATTTGTTTTTCACTTAGCAATCAGATAAAGACGCTGTTACTTGCAATTATTGTCAACGACTATCTTCTCAAAAAACAAATTTTTTCATACGGCCTGTATATGTGGCGTTCAGTAGCGGAAAAAAGATGTGGATCAGTTTAGTCAATTTTCAAATACTGATTCTACCAGCTGAGAAAAAGCGATAAGATATTATTTATGACATTTTATTCAGATGCACTTGAGTTTTTTTTTCACATTATTTTATTATTTAATTTTCAATCTATGTTTAAGCTTATTCTGATTATACGTTATTTGGTGTAATGCGTTACCTGCCATATGCTCGAACATGTAACATTATTTTGCTACGCTGATTTTTTTTTGTTGCTGCTGCTTTTCTTCATGTTAATCTACTTTCAGTAGCTTTTGTCATTCCAGTCGCATTGCTTTAAGATTGAAATGTTAAATACAGCTTTAGGAACGAAAACAGTAAAACTGGAGATGAAGAATTCTGCCACAGACACTTTCCATTGAACATATCAGCAGAGCAAGTGATAACACATCTTTGTTTGTAACAGTGACGAAAAAGAGAGAAAACCACAATTTTCTGCTGTTTAAGAAAAAATACAACAAAAACAAAAATTATTTTCAGTGTTAGTATTAACAAAAAAAACTCAAATGAATTTCAATTATCTGTTTTTTAATTACTAAATGGACTCTCTTCTTTCTCCCCCTCTCCTCCTTTCCACCTTTGTCCCGTCTGGATCATACGATATTGAAAAAACCAAGTTCTCAAAATGAGCAAATATATGTTAAATGAAAAAGAAGAAAAAAAAAGTTTGTTAATTTGGTTAGAATAAGTTTAAGATAAGTGTTTCTGTTTGCATGCAAATACGCACCATCACCGTCGGTCAATCTATTGATCGGTCAACTAACCACACTGTTGTTAATACAATTGCTTAATTTGCCTTACGTCTTCTAGCACTATCAATAGCATTAAGGCTCAACAGCTAAACCCGTATTATTTGTAGGGGATTGGAAAAAGTAGAAGAAGACAAAAAAACAAAAACAGAAAGAAAAAAGCAATAAACTGATAAGTGCTGATAAAATAACAGTTATTGTCATTACTTTTTGGTGTATTTACTTCTGTCTTTTGTATAGATTTACTTACATAACCGTGTTTTTTCCTTGCTTTTTGATTGATTTTTGATTCAGAAAATCAGACGTTCGATCATGCACATAATTTTTTTCTTTTTTTCATTTTAAATTTATGTTTCTTTTCTATACTTGTATCTGTGTGCATTTGTGCCACTAATTTTCTAGATTATTTATACATTATACACAAATTACGTAATTTTTTGTTTTAGGAAAAGGAATCAACTTGTTGTTGGTTTTTTTTTGCTATAAAGGCAAAAGAAAAGAAGAAGAAAAAGAGGAAAAAGAAGTTAACAAAACAAAAATAAAGCAAACAAAACGAAACCACGCTGAACCAAAGGAATATAAACAAAAGAAATTTTTATCATCTTTTATGGTTGTATATTAAAATCTGTTTTACATTTGCAAATGATAGCAGAATTTCATCTTCTTAAAGCCGATCCTTAATGGTCAGTAGAGATGACTCAAATTCTTGTGTACATATCGCCAATATTTGCCATTATAGTGATTATTTACTGTATTTATGTGCTATTTTTTAACTGCAAAAAATATTCTATGGTCCAAACTTCTGGTAAGTTTTTCATCTATTTTTTAATACAAATTTATCACAGCTGCTATTATTTTGTAATTTTATATCTTAAAAAAAATTTTTTTTTTTTTTTTGATTACTTATTATTCGCGCATCTGATAGTGACAAATAAATTTTTATTTCAATGAGTCATTTGATATTTCGTAAATATCAGTGAGAGAGCGTAACGATAAATAGTTTTTTGTTGGTCATATAACTACAAGAATTAGGTATTCTTTAAGCACTAACGACAGGAAAGATTTGAAAAGTTGAAAAAATTTATTCGACCCCATTTCTTCAAAGCAAAATATTTTCTGTTATACTGTTTTAATAGCTATACTCATTTAAGCTACTCCTAGAAAAAAAATATTATTTTTAATACTTTATTTTATCACTACCAACAACAAGTATATTCTTCATTTACGTGTTCGTTTTGAGGCATTTTAGAAAGAAAAACTGGTAGAATCAGGATAGTATAACTTTAAAAAAAAATAATGACCATTAAGTAATTTTGATTTTTTGCATAACGTCTGCAAAATTCTTTCAGTTTAGTGGCCTCGTTTTTTTTTTTTCAGTCAATAAAACCAATAATTTAATAATCGTAGTAAATGTTTCATTACCACATCTTACGGGTAATTTTTTTCTCATCAAATAGCCAATCAACGTATCAAATAGTCTTATTCCCCCTTTATCTATTGCCTACCCACTAGTTGTACCAGCATACCTTTCTCGTAATGAAGCCTAAATAAACTTATCTGAATTTTAAATAGTGGTTTTCGATTAGTAATTGCAGGCAAATGTTTCGCCATCTGGCTGTAATGAGTACTTTTACAAAACATTTTGGTTTCTTCAGAAATTAATCAACAAAAGCAATGCGTTTAACCCCATTCGGTCAATTTAGGCTTTTAAATGTTTTTCTAGGAACTGAAATGAGACATATGATTGCAACACTTTTCTGACCATTTGAGTCAACATTAATGCTTG